GCCGAAAGACACAATATCTTGATAACCTGCTGCCGAAAGACGATTCATCTTGACAGCACAAGAGTTTTCACTAGGACTGTTTTTCACAAAATTTATACAAGTTATTAGATTTTATTAAGTTGTTCATATTATTTAAATAGGTTACTCATTAATTCCTTGCCACAACCTGTTGCCAAGTTATGCAGTTAATGCCCCACACTTTCTCTTTGAGCACTAAAATCATCTAGCATTAGACAAAGTAAAATAACAAAGTAGAGCACAGTCAAACTTAATTAGTTAAATATTATCCTGGTTATCAATCTTGTTTACTTTATCCAACTTAATTAACTTTTGATTTATACTTCATTTTGTAGAGCCTCTTTAATGCATCTCAGCTGTGGATATTCTCTGCATTCAATATGGTCAATAATTTCAAAAGAGTGGACTTTTTTGTGGGGTTAATATCAGTAGCTGCATTTGCTAACTGTAATAGGATTGTGCTGCTGATTTTCTTCCCAGTTGTAACACGAGATCCGTTCAAGACAGTTGTTCAGTGTGTTTGTACACTTCCCTGTATTTCATCGCCATTGGTCAAGAGATTTCACAAACTTTCCCGAAGTCAATTATGTATCCCTTATTTTGTGCAACCAACACATTATTGGACTTCAAGCCACAGTGGAGATATCCTCTTTGGTGCACGTGGTCACGTGCATCAGTGATGTCATAACATATGCAGAGTCATGTTTTGGTTGACATTTCTGAAGCTTGATGTTGGTACAGTGAATCAAATAGCAACTTGAACAATGTTATAGACTGACTGTTCTCCCCAATAAATTACATTATCAGGGAGATTGACTTTTTGTCTAGCTGCACCCCAAGTAACAATGGGATACATATGTGTGACAATTTTGGCAAAAATATTGCTTCTTTATATAGCATATCAGCAGGCTGTCTGTCAACTGCTTTTCAACAACTGTTATTCCTAATCTAATGAATTTTTTAGGGAAGCAATTGCCAAAAACTCCATTCCCTATTGATTCATTTCTCATTTCCTCCGATTGTTCATGTTGAATAGTTGTAATATCCACTGTACAAGTACTTGAGCTGGACATGTTCAACTGAGTTACCTTTAATTTGAAATTTAATGACTGTTTATTAGTGATTTGAATGGTCATACCAAGTTTTGTAATCAAGGGGTATTGAACTTGGTTGGGTTGATGGATTTTTTTATAGCTTTATATTTATATTTTAGTTCCCTAATTTTGAGCAAGCTAATAGTGTGTGACCAACAAACCCTTTGATATAGTTTACAGTATGTCATGATTCTCTTCTTGGCAGGAAGTCTCATTCTCAAAAATCGTAAGCAAATTGGTTAAATTGCCTTTCATCTTGACTCATAAGAATGAGGCTTCCAGGCAAAGGAAATGAATATATATACCTGTATAGCCAAATCAAAAAAGGTGTCCTTTCCAAACCTTAAACTCTAAGTGTGCAAAGCTTAATGGGAGCACAAGTTTCAGCTTTCAAGCTTATAGTATTTGAATATTGCAGCTATTTGTGAATGAATTGTTCTCGTAAGGAGATGTTCACCATGTCTCTAAGAAATAGGCCCCATCTATGATTTATAAACAGATTAAATGATGCTTGGCCTCCCATTATGCTTTGCACGTTTAGAGTTTAAGGTTTCAAGTTTAAGGTTTGCAAAGGACAACCTTTTCTGAATTAGCTGTATAAATATAGGTAATGGCATATGGATATGGACACACTGTAAACCTCCGAATATGAGCCCTGGGCTTATATTCGTTTGTACATGTTTTTGATGGGCTTATACACAGGGGAGCTTATATAGGGGGGGGGGGCTTACCCATGGACAACATTTTGTGTTGGTGTAATAGTGATTTTTGTGTTAGTGTATAATAGTGATAAACAAATGTGGGGGGGGGGCATATATTTGGAATGGTGTGAATTTCAGTAATGCGATGGGCTTGTACGGGGGTATTCGGGGGGGGGGCTTATTATCAGAGGTTTACAGTGTTTATATACTGTAGTTATATTTATGCATATTTAAATGCTACGCCCTAAGTGAAGATCGGGCATATGTAGGGCATTTAATGGATTTTTGTTTCCCCACCCTCAGGAATTTGATCGACACCATCTCCAGAGGGTGGGGATATTTGAATTGAGCACCATCTTGTATCCTGAGGAAGAGCACAAGTTGAGGACTGGGACAAACGACTTTCAAGCCTTTCGACACAAATTTATGTGCCCAACAATGGGGCATTTGATCACATTTGACTGATATTTGCTTCCCCATGTTAGAGAAAATTGCATGGAAAATCAAATGCCCGACCGTCTCACCCAGGGGCTTAAAATCAATCGGTGCATTAATAAAAGGATTGATGAAATGTATTTGTATTAAAAATTGAGTATACCTTTTTAGTGCTTGCCCTGTTGTCCAACTTAGTTTGTAATTTTTCGTTGACGTCAACACTTCTTCTCCAAAGTTTGTAATATTTAGAAGCAATGCTCCCGTACTGGCCAGCTTGACTCAGCTTTTGCTTTGACATCACGAAGTGCATCTTCTATGAGCGCCGCGCGCTTCAACTGCGATTCCTGATGTTGCTTTCTCTTCTTACTGCCATTGCGCATCTTTCTTTTGTAAATGATTGTATGTCGCATGCTGAAATTTACCAAAATATTCGAATATACGCTCGACTTTTTCGAGAATACTGCAGATCGATCCTTCGCGCGAACTGCAAATATTGGCGCCTAATATTTCTACATCATTGGTTTTCCCTATATGGAAGTGTTGCCTATATAAGGAATATGGTTACTTAGCAACCGCACAGAGCATTTTCTGCATAATTCATATCTTTAAAGGGAATTCGTTCATGCAGAAATTTGAAAGAGGTTTTTGTCGTTGTAAATTTTTTAAATACTGCGGATTCAGGTAGACCGTGAAATGCGAATAGTTGTCGCGTTAGTTTTAACAGTTGTACGATGACGTTTCTAGGCAGATTTTCGACGTCTCTAAGGCGTGGCTTCAACGTTTGTTTTTAAAATTTGAACGTTGTAATAACAACGTTCAAATTTTAAAAATAAACGTTGATGAAGCCACGCCTTAGAAACGTCGAAAATCTGCCTAGAAACGTCATCGTACAACTGTTAAAACTAACGCGACAACTATTCGCATTTCACGGTCTACTTGAATCCGCAGTATACGTGTGGATAAATGTAATGATTTATTGTGTACTCTATATGTATTCCTTATGGTATTTACACGGTTAAAGCTAAGGTGAGTTCATTTACAGTGCTAATATTTTTTATATGTACTGTTGTACAAAGTTTCAAGATATATAAAAGCAGTTATTCACTTCCCCGTTTATAATGCGAAAATATAGGCATACTGTTCTAGTTTTTTATCTGGTATATTACGTGGAATTTGCCGAAGTGTTAATTGTAGTCATCGAAGACTACTAGGGAATGTTTCCTAGTTAAGTTTTTTGTGACTGTAAACAGTGCAATTGTGGTGGTCAATTGGCTGACCTTGTAACAATATGGACTTCAGGTGTTTGAATTTTTATTTGTCTATGTTACAAGCCTTTTTTCCAGTCAGGGTTTGATATTCTTCTGTCGTGTAATGCACTGCAGGGTCATAAAGGTACGACACCATGAAAACTAGGTGACCATGCATAGCTGTGTTTACACCACAAGCCTGGCCAACGCCTAGCTTTGGACTATATTTTTGTAGTGTAACACACGTTGGCCTGGTCTAGGCCAGGATATCTGGGCCCATCAGAACAGGTGTTCCAAATTTCCTGGCCTAGGCCAGGCCGAAGTGCATTTACACTACAAAAATATAGTCCAAGGGTAGGCACAGGCTTATAGCCTCAGCTTTCAATGATTTTGTCAGACTTAATTCTTCATCAGATTATCATATTTGTTGTCGGTCCAGTCGACGCTTTCCATCATTTGTGGCACTGCATCAGTAATTTCTCCACCATGCAGTCCCCTGAGTTTCATTCTTCGCACTGTCTCATCATTCCCATCATGTTTGTGCTTGAATCGACTGATGTCAACACCAACAGATTTTAGCCATTCTTTTGCAATTTGACCCCCACACAGTCTTTTCTATTTCACCTTGAGTGTTCTTGATGTTATGCTTTCTTTCTAGAGTTGACCAGTTTAGAACCATATTATCTGGATATTTTTCACTTCTCTCATTTTTCCTTATCAAAATTTTGTTTTCTAAGTTTCCAAGTTCTCTTCTTCATGCCTGCTTCGATGTTGTGATTGCTGTGTTGCTGCTAAAGACTAGCGGTTACTACAGCATCTTAGGAATATAGAAGTATATTATTTTAGTTTGTTATTCCTGCTTGTACATGATTATTTCTGTCTTTGCATTAAATTGCATATACTGTATGTATACTCAAAGCTTAATCCGTGGCCAGGAGCTTTGGGAGGTAACTATAAGATAATACTGTAGCAAGTTTGACAAAAGCTCTTGACTCAGGATAAGAGTTGCCTCAATAACAATGAGCTAATACTGTAAAATGTTCTAACACATTAACCACAAATAGAATAATTTTTGTCGGTTAAATATATTTTGCAACAAATTTGATTGTGTTAAAACTTAGAAGCTATTTAATAATACTGCATCACAGACATATTGCATTCAGCCTATTCACCTCATAACTGATGTTTTCTTCCAGTGCTCTTCCAAACAAGCTTTTGTCTTTTGTGAATAATTTCTTCTTTCTTTTTTTCTCAGCACAACTCTTCTTCACTTGGATATTCAATGTGGGAAAAGTGGTCAGGGTCTTCTCAAAGGGTACATTAAAAACTCGCTGGAATACTCGGTTAATTTCATCATACACCGTTTGTGCGCCAGTCTGGTATTCTCGCCGTGTACACTTTATCTGTACAGGCTGTTTTATACTTTAATATACAATATTTTGAGCGCGTCTAATTTTGACAGATTATAATCTTAAATTACAGATAAATAAGGCTCTTGTTTCATTATAGCACTCGATCAAGATTTATCCTGTGCAATATTGTCTGCGAAATTTATGCTTAGTAGCCTTTTAGATTTGTAATATTACAATTATAAATTAAAGCATCAGCATGTTGTGGTTATTAAATGCGAAGTTGTGCAGATAATTTGGTCACCTGAATGGTTCTGTGCCTTCGACATTCACTTGTATATGAAAACAATGATATGATATGTATATATTTTTGTGTATTACAATTGCCAGTTTTAACCTTGCGCAAAGCAAAATATATATGGAAACATGTCTTTATGCTCTAATTGCTCTTCGAGTTATTATGATCTCCATTTTGAGCGTTCTTTGTTGCCATGGCTAAGCGGGAGACCGCTGTGTGTAGAATCAAGGCTCACTCGACAAAAACGGCGGTTTTTACGATTTATTTACTCGGCTGAATCATAAACTTCAATGGCTTTGCAGGAAAGGATTTTATTAGGGACGGACCATTATTTTTTTGGAGGGGGGGGGATGAAAAATTCTTAAAAAAATTGTTTGCAAAGACAAAAAAGTGCAAATAAATTGTTTGCACACATAGAAAAGAGGAAAAAAATAGTTTGCAAGCTAATGAGATTATGCAACATCAACCAAGGTTAATGACAATGAACAGTAGTGCTCACCAACATACCCAGGGTCTTCACTCCAAAGCCCTGGGATGGGACACGCTGGGCACATGTTGCAATCTACATATGGGTTAAATATTAATCTATTTAATACAGTCATTTCTTGGGGGGGGGGGTTGTATTTTTTGGTATTTTTTGTATAAAATAGGTAATTGGACAAGTACTGGTGTAAGACATTGTGTAGCGTAAATAATGAGAGGACCAGTATCAGGGCCTCTTTAACATACAAGCGGTGGGGGGATGTCTGCCTTATGCCCCCTCACGAAATCACATTTTCCTTTTCATTTCCCTTTTTCCTAAATTTACACAAACAAACCAGCGAAAAATAACAAATTGATAAACAAAAAGTAAGTTTTAGGCTTTATCCTTTCTCCTTGTTTAACAAAATCGATTTAAATTGTTACGTTTTTCTACCTGGCACTAAGTAATGATAAATTATTGTTAATAATTTTTTTTATTTTTTGTGCGTTTTTTCCTTCTTTTATTTCAAATACAAGTATACTTAGCATAAATTTTAGAGCAAATTTAAATGCTCAGAATGCAGGAAATGGCATTTCAGGGCTTCAAATTTCAAAAATTTTCTGGGGAAATATGCCCCCAGACCATGTAGCCGTCAGCCATTCCTATCCTCCTCTAATATATTATCTCACAGAAAGGTCCCCTCCCCCCTCATACGGGAAAATCTTTAAAAAAGGCCCGGACCAGTATACCAAAAAAACTATTAAATGTCTGTTTACATATTAAATAGAGAAAATATAAATATAAAGAAATAGTTTAAGTTAAAGTTTAAGGAGTGAATACTTCTAGTTTTGATTTGACCGAATATAAAACATGCGTGTCAGGCTTGGCCTTGGTCGCGTGATTTGTAACGTCATCGCGATATATAAACGAACGCCACATAAATGCACGTGTTTATCTGTGGGAATAAGTCAGCGAATAATACAAACATTGATATTGACAGAACTCTTGCTAGCTTTTTCAAGATGTCGGGCAAGAGGTTATACTCAGAATTTGTGGCAATGTACTTTAAATTAAATTTTTTGTTAGGTTAAATTAGATCAATTGCATGTAAATCACGGCAGATCATGTATTCCTATTCGTTTATATTAATTCAGCATCAAACAATACTAGTTCTGCAAGTGTTATGATCACGTCAATTGATCACGTCAATGATCACGTCAATGATTTGTACATGATTGCGCTTGATCACGTCAATGATCACACCAATGAACACGTCAATTGATCACTTCAATGATCACGTCAATGATTTGTACATGAATGCGCTTGAATACAAGACGTATTTTATTTAGATTGACTCTGAACAAATTCTGAAGAGTTTAGAAGATATTCAAGTTTTTTCTCGATATAAACTTCAGAATGTTTGGCCAAGCGGTGGAGCTTTATTAATTATAGAAATTGCGTTTTTGTTGTAGTTACTGAAAAATTGAAGTGTTGAGATTGTCAGCTTAACGCTTGTTCTCTACAACTAAGAAACGTTTCCAGATGCCATTCCGTCAATTTAGCCATTCCGTCAATTCCGCCATTCCGTCTATTCCGCCCATAGATATAGGAGATCTAGATTGCTAACGCATACCTAGCGCAGGTGGGGCCTACATGATAAATCCAAGATGGCGGTACAACAGGGCAAAAAGACTATAAATTGTATTACGAAAATCAGGATTTTTGGAATTTTTGCCGTCGCATTGTTTTGAAACTTATTCGGTCAAATTTTATGGTAAAGAGAAATACCATAAAATTTGACCTATTTTCCATCAAAACTCAAAAGATGCTGCTACTTATTAACTAAATTGTGAATACAACTATGCAAGTAATAATTACCTTGTATCATGATCTGATTCCGAACTTGTGCTATCACTCTCGAATGAAGGGTCTTCATGGTGTAATCAAAATTCAGGATTGATAGATATGGAAAGACTCTCAATTCTGCTCACGTCAAGACTAGCAGATATAGGTGCAACATCCATGGCTCTGTTTGGGAAAGTAAATTACATTAACCCTGATTTCCAGTAAGCCTGGTTTCATTTTGGTAGTAGCTCTCATGACAGGAGCACGTCCAACTATGTGAAATAGCCAAAATGAGCCAAACGATAATAAAGAACAAAATAGATAAGATACAATATACAGTATACCAGTTGCTATATAACTCAAGACTTTGTATGGAACCGGGTTGGCCTTCTTAGTCAGGAGACAGCCTGGTAAACGAGATCACAGTATAGGAAAACAACAGTAGGGCCACTCAGCGTAAAAAAGTGTCCACATTGTTTACTGGCTGCCAACCTAATTTACATATTGGCAGCCAACGACAGCAGTTCACTATAAAATTGTATTACAGAGTAATGTTTTGGCCGTGTAAGACACCTGGGACCTAGCTTAAATAATTCCCACTTTTCTCTCCTAAGTGGCGCTACTGGTCGTCTCCCTATACTGTGGTGAGATCTCACTGTGCAGTTATTTTTATAGTAAAAATTACCATTTGAAAGAGGTGAGATGTCACTTGCCAGAATAAAGATTTCTCTATCTAAACACGAACAAACAAGCTGGCCCGGTTGCAGGGATGACAGTTCAAAGATGCCGCTGCAAGCTATTTTTAACTGTCAAAAAAAAATTTTCCTGGCAAGCAGTATAAAAGTTTCTCATATAAACAGAAGAGACATTTATCCTGCTTACCTGGCCGATCAGCCTGGCTTCGATATAAACAGCCCCTTACTGGCTTATTCTGTTATTCAAGGTCAAGGAAGAACACAGTAATGTGACATCATATTCGGCAACAAGGCACTACTATTAAAGCATTTAAAGGATAATATCCACCGCATTCCTTACGTTCTATTATTTTCAACACTCACATGTCATTGTCAGTCTCATGGACAATGGGTGACAAACACAAATTTCGATCAGGTTTGCCTTTACCAACAGGTGTTGAAGACAGAACATATGGCAAGGGTCGATCTGAAGTGTAATATACAAAATATATGATCATATAGGACGTAGATAACAAATCATTTTAAAATATAAAGAAATTAATTGCATTATTAAATAACAAATATGTAGTATTTACCATCGCCTGGAGATTCCATTGATTGCAAAGGCTCGTCTTCGCAAAAATTCAGAAGCAAGTGCCGTGCAAAATCACTATGTGTCTTCGTTGAGAATCCAATAGAATCTTTTCTCGTAATCCACATCTCATGTACGTCCTTTAATTTTATACGCACAAATCCTATCTCATCTCTTGGCCTTCCACGCTTTGGCGGCGATGCACCAGACGAAGACATGATCGGTATTATTCTTTTATTATATACAGTATGTTGTCCAGTTTCGGGACAGTACCAGTATCAAGACAGTTCAGTTTCATCACAAAATTTTTCTTTGTAAACAAAAATAAAAAATTAGAACGGTAGGTTCCGATGATTCCCCGATATGTCGCGAATATTTTGTGGTTTTGGCGCCTTTTTTTAACTGTTTTTCTTGGAGCTTTACAATTTTTAGTGAAGGTAAGTCAAAAATTATTTTTCCAAAATTGGGTAGTTTACAGCGCGGCAAATATAGTGTTGCACTTGAAGAACTAAATTCTCAGAAATCCAGCAAGGTAACTGCAACGATTTTCAATTGAAATAAAGATAAAAGGCTTAAATTTTATTTGAAGTAAAAAATTGAGCCACTTTTCAAATATTTACGACATAATGAAATCTCGAATATTTATGCCATTTTTCCTCGCTTTGTCCAGTATCGGAACACCGACGATCTGTTATCGGACTATTATGCAAAAACGTAGAAACTCGTTGTTTCTCATTGCAAAAAACGTTCAGAGAAATAAAAAAAGATAATTTATTGTATAGTAAATTATTTTACGCTACTACAGGATTCTAGTGCAATACAAAGTATATATGCAATACAAAGCTAAAGGTCTGGATGGTGTGCTTTTTAAAATTCGATATTTAATCGACCAAATGGCAGAAAAAATAACATTACTAACCATAACTAAACTTTTGTAGATATATTTACATTAAAATATGATTAAAGTTCAGTATTTAACATTAATCTTAGCTTACATGTGTGTCAAATCCACTGAGCTGTATAATAACTGGAGGACCTGCTCCTATACTTCGTTCTGTCAACCAAGTGAAGCCAAAAACGTGGCGGATTTTGAGTGAAAATGACGCCATTTCCATGACTACTGGTCCCTAAATTCATGGTATTTGCCACTGAACAAGGCTCAATTGTGAGCCCGCCACAGTTTTCACACCCCCTGGTTTCTAAAAAAAATATTTCGGATTTTTGCAGTGAATTCTTGTTGTTTTGTTATTTTCGACATATTTTTTCGACGTTTGACCATTTGTTCAAGGATGTGAAAGTCGTACACGTTATTCTCGTCCGTGACAGACGACAAACAACTATTAAAACCTCCCAAAATGTGGACAAAAACGATATTTCAAGCCGGGCTATAAACAGCAGTCTATAAACATGCAGTCAACTCTAAACAGGTAAACATTTTAAAATTCACATTTTTATTTTAGTATTTCATGAAAAAATGTTAGGAATAAATGGTAAAATGTACTCTATTTTTTTAGAAAATAAGCCACAAGTGTTTATAATGTGGTTGTAGATAAACCTTTTTGTATTTACTGTATTAAGTTTATGCAATAATTTCATCCCTCGCAATATCGAGTTGCACAACAGTACATGTATGATGAAACTATGATGTTTTGGTGTATTAAAGAGGAAATTAAGGTTTTATATATTTAGCCAAAGGTTTTGTTATGCATGAGCTTGTGGTGAACTGATGCAGGAAAAAGCTCAGCTGCCTAGTAGGGCCAGCTGAAGTGAGAAGGCATGTTTTATATCCAGAATTGTACATTGTAGTTTTAATATGTGCTCTCTGATTGTATTGTATTGTATCATTTGTATGATAGTTTGTTGTATGTGTCTTTAAAAGGCCATTAGCTTGTTTGCCCCATCCCTCAAATATTAAGTTAATTGTGAGTCTCTAGTTTTGCCATATTGCAGTAAGCAAGACTTTACTGTGTGGTTATTTTAATATTTTTATAGTGGAAATTCCTTTCAATTTGCATGGATAACCTGGCTCTGACAGTTTGAGATCTCACTTGAACAAGACAAGATCTCTAAATGTTAGACAAGATAGTTACTAACCTGACTGACTTGGTCAAAATGAAGTCAAAACAACAAAATTGGTCATGAAAATAGTGTCAAAACAATAGAGATGCAGAATTTTCCAACAATGCATGAGTCCATGCCACTGTTGTTTAACTGTTAATGAAACTCAGTACCAAGCTGCAACATGTTTGTAAATTAAAGATTCAAAATCATGATTAATTTTGTATTATTTTAATTAAACTTGGTCAAAGAATAATTATCAAATTAATAATTATAACTGTACAATCAAGTTACAATATGTGATAGAGTATTATTATAACTGTAGCTCCATGGGTGATTCTTTGGCTGTTCCCTGTTTTGATGCCTTGGGCCATTTCTTGTAGTACATATAACAGGGTTTTTTTCAGGATTTTCTCTTGGGTCCGTTTTTGCAGAGAAGATTGAGTTTAGCTGAACAGCTGTGGTGGTTGCAACCCCCCCCCCCCCTACCGGGGGGCTGACACTTGTACTCAACAAATGTAGTTGAGACGGAATGTGTTAAAGCAGGGGCATTGAGGGACACTATAAACTGGTTAAAGATGGCGAATGCATAGTTTTTCTTGTGTTGTGAGATGAATTCCAGCCATTTTTTCTTAATTGTCGGGTTTCCAACTGAAAACTAATTTCCACACATCACGAATTTAACTCAAACAACTTCATTTTTACTGCACTGAAACTTTGGTGAGAAGATTGAGTTTCAAAACTCAATTCAAGATTGAGTTTTTGGGGCCGTTTAACGGCCCTAAAAATCCCTGAAAAAAAGCCTGATATAAGACTTTGGAGAAAAGTCATTGTTAGTTTTTCCAGTTACGGTAGGTCTGGCAAGTGCCACCACTACTATAACACCACTATTCTTGTTATTTGAACATTCCAAAGAACTTGTCCACATGACTTACATCCCGGATCACCCTAAATGAGAAATGTCAATTATATTTATAAAATAGTGACAGCTAGTATCATTAGAACACACTTTGAAGAAATAGTGAGTCACATATACCAGGCTCCAAAGTCCAATTACAGGGAAATTTACTGTAGAGTAGACATTATTTATATGTTAACCCATTCAGCACGTACCACTGTGCTCTCTTGTTGACAAGTAAAATTGTTGGCGTTAGACAAAGTAACACGAACATATACAGTAGGGTGCAATGCAACTGAACCCATTGAGGGGCAGCACTCTCAACTTGACGAGTAAAATCGTCTGGCATTGGACGGAGTAAAATATTGTAGTAGGGCGCACTGCCACTTAAAGGATTAAAAATGGGTTCATTACGGATGAAATAAATTGATCCAAGCATTTTTCACATATGAGTTCTGGCATTTATAAGCCCAGCTAGCTTGCAACCAACTTTAAAGCTTGCAACCAACTTTAAAGCATACAGCAGTTAATTGCACCCAAGCTTATTATTTTACTCAGGCAGTCTAATGCCTGACAATTTTACTTGTCAAGGGGACAGTCTTGTCAATTAATTGTATTTCTTAACTCCCCAAAGTTTCATTTTACATTTAATTACAATATATCACAAAATCAAATGATCTAAGTGAGAAGGTTCACAACAATCACAAATAATATATCTAACTGAAATTTGAGCTCTACTCCAATACTGGGGACACCACCACTGAAACCTGAAACTGCTCTCAAACATATCATCAATCAATTTAGGTTAATTGTCAGAGCATAAGGTTGGTCAATGCCAAGGTGACTGGCACACATATTGTGCACCTGTCATTCCTATATTACCGGCCTCTAATGACTGTGGGATTTATAGAACTCTGACAAACTATGTTGGGCGAGATATTGTAAACCGGCCTCTGAATATAAGCCAGCTAGCCCTGGGCTTGTATTCTAATACGTATGGCTAAGCTGCATTAATAAATATACCTGGAGCCAATTGTATCAAGCCTGTTTAGCTTAAACGTTGGTTAAGCTCAAAATAGAAAGCAAGTCTATAGATTCATTCAACAACCAAACTAGAAGTTTTGAACCTTAATAGAATGATGTTTACAACTACATATTCAGTGCAGAATATTTAAGTTGACTGATTCATGAGAAATTAAGCTAAACAGGCTTGATACAACCGGCCCCTGTCAAATAATATAAGCCCATGGGCTAGCTTGTACACACAGGCCTGGCTTTAGAGGGGGGAGGGGCTTATATTCGGAATAGCCTGAGCGTTAGTAAATATGATGGGACTATACACAGGGGGGCTTATATGTTTATGGTAATTGCTTGATTGCAATGGGTATTGAATGGTTTGAACCTGATGTCTTTGGCCTAGCTAGCAAAGTATTTGTTCACTTGTCTACATGTCATGTAAGTGAGATTTCATATAACTACACAGTAATTATAAACAACTGCTGGCAAGAACCTGGCAAGGATATCACTCAAAGTTTGTCAAGGAAAATTTAATATACTAAAATACTAAATAAATACAAGTGTGCAGACACTACAGCAAGGACTTTGAAATCATATTAACGACATTAACCAGTCATGAAACCCTACGCAAAGAACAATAAAATGTACAGAATTGCCAACCATTTACAGGTTGTTATGTCTGCTAATAATTTGCTGTTCATATACTTTTATGTTCGTAGTATTATAAACTTTGTAGTTTGTACTTCTGCTTCAAATTTTCTACAATATATAAAAATCTTACCGGTGAATAAAAAGATTCTTCTTGTACATCTCATACATCTACGAGCGACGCAAAAAGGCAGGATCCTCGACATTGTAAATCAACCAAGTTATAGGAGAAAAATATCAAGATTTTCAGTGCGATTTTTACCTCAAAAACAAGCGAAATCATAAAATATCTGTGCTGAAACCAGGGGGATGAAGTACATTGTCGAAAACCTAGGATCGCGGTTGGGACAGTGGTAGTTGCCATGAATTTAGGGACCAGTAGTCATGGCAATGGCGTCAGATCCGCCATGTTTTTGGCTTCACTTTTTTTCCCCGAGCAGGTCCTCCAGTAATATAGTATAGCTCAGTGATCTCTTCTCAGTAAAAATTTTGTCTCCACAAAATGGCGGATTTATAAGGGCATTTTGGCTAGTCCCAGACTCCTGTGGCGTGGAAATTCGCGCGGTGCCGGGAGTGCGATATTGTTTTTTTCAACAA